GTAACAAACACCTTAGGTTCCCTCCAACCTATCCTAGCTTAAACCTAATTTGAAATAATTAGCAGATAGCATTTATAATAAATAGGGGATGTAATGGCACATTGGGTGCCAATTTTGTAGCACAAATGTAGTTAGAATCTTTAATCTTAGAACTTCTGTTTTCTAAAAATGTTGTAAAGTTTCTGCTCTGACATTATTGAAATAAAAAAAAAAAAAAATTTTTATTTTTATTTTTTTTATTATAATTTTTTTATAATCTTTTAAATTTATAATTTTTGTTTTAAATTATAAATTAAGATTTTTTTCTAAATTTCATATAATGTTTTTAAATGTTTGTTATCTAATTCAAGATCAGTTTGTTTATATTTAACAAATTGAACAATATTTTGAATATTATAAATTTCTTTTGTTGAACTTGATATCAATTTTGGTTCAGATTCAATTTCTTTATCTAACTTATTTTTAATAATATTAATTACAATTTCTTCATTTGTAATATCAATAGAATGAGACATATTTTCTATTGAAAGATATTCATATGCATTGATCTTTTCATCATCTTTATATAGTAATTGATTAATTAAATTTTATATTTTAGCTTCATTATTATTATTTTCTTCTAGCAAAACTAATTCACCAGTCACTGTACTATCAGAAAGTATAGATTCTGAGTCATCAAAAGGTAAAATTTCTGTTTTTTTCCAACAATTTAAAATTGTATTAGATGTTACATTTTGTTATACTTTAGAAGACCATTCAATTGCATGTGCTATTATTACTTCTTCTATTTCTCTACCAGTTTTACATACTTTATTAAATTCATCTAATCGATGTTTTATTAGAAATTTTCTATAATTTGACTATAAATTATAAAATAAGTTAATTAAAATTATATAAAATATAATTACAACTCCTTTATAATCTCATATTTAAAATTCAAAAATAGAAATTATAAAGAAATATAATTATTATAAATATTTCTTTATATAGTTATAAAATATTATATAACAAATAAATTAATAATTATATTATTTTTTTTTTTTTTAAATATTAAGGTGAGTACTTGCGACCCAGGATTTTATTGATAGTATATTTGCTAATAGTTGCATTACAACCACAGAAAGCAACTATGGGAAGAGTGTACAACTAGCCACTCATACAACTTTAGTCATTATCTAATTTAAGTAGTGCGCCCGAAGGTTCTACACTAGCTGCCATACCTGGAACCCACTTGTAGGTTCTCTATTTAACCATTCTGTTTCTGTATCTACCCACCTACCTCTGCCTACCAATGATTCTGGCCAATGCCGGTGAAAATATGCCATGGCCACTAAGTCTTTAAAGCAGTTTCTTTGAACCTTTGACCTTGTACTAAACCTTC